CTTGACTGAAACTGATTGATGATTGGCGAAACGTCAGCAATTTCGACTAAGCAAAAACCGACGCAGGAGGAATCCAGAAGTTTTGTAAAAAGCATTACAGTAGCTTGTGGAACTTTTTTTGAAAAATTGATTTACCTTTATTTTGTATTTCTTGTTCCTTGTGTTCGAAGTTTTTCGCTTTTCGTTGATTATTATAATCTAAAAGCAGCTTTCCTGTTTGGATGTCATGTTTATTTAATTTCTTAAAACAGAATTATCTTTTAACGTCTGCAAGAAAATAATAACTGATTATTATTCTGAATCCGATCGTAAATAATGTACAGGGTGACTGAATGAAAAAACAATTTTTTCAATAACGTAATCTCTCAAAAATAATAATATATGTTCATTCAGTAGACAAAATAATTATAAATTAAAAATAATACATTACATTCAAAGTACATCTACAAAAAAAGATAAATGAAAATTATCCCTAAAATTCTTAAATTGTGGTGGATGACATTTCATCACATATTGCAGAAAAGTAAATAAATGTTTACAGTCATTTACACATAATTTATGTAAAATACGAAGTCTCTAGACAATATAAAATTTTAAACAAACAAATTTTACTTTAAATTTGGCTTTTTATTTTTGACATTTATTTTTTTTTGTTATCGGTCACATGGTATCAATTGTTTTAATATCTCCAGAAACAAGCTTATGTACAGGGTGGGCACTTTATTACAAAAGTTTTATGGTTTAAATTGAATTTTAAAATTATTAATTTTTTATATATACAGGGTGTCCGATAAGTGCTGAACCGATAGTAGTTTTAAATTTTAAACCGAACCTCCTACATATTTTGATATTTTTAGAATCCTTGCCAAAAAGAAAGGTAACTTTTAGAGAAACTACTTATTCGAATTTTCTGTAGTTTAGACAGAACTTGAGATTATATATTTGTTTATGCAAAATTATGTTCTTAGGAAATATGGTCTTCCACGGCTGACAGTAATGATTAGTTGATCAAATTTTAAACACACTGCTATGACTAGGTATTTTAAAATTATACAGGGTGTCTTGAATTTCAACTTGCAGTATTCTTTTTTTTTTTTAAATGAGACGCCCATAATAAAAAAAAATCTTTTAAATAATTTATATACTAAATTTCGACCAGCTTTGAGAAAAAATATCAAAAACGTGGGCGTCTCATTAAAAGAAAAATAAATACTGCAAGTTGAAATTTAAATAAAATGTCCTTTAATTTAAGCCACCCTGTATAATTTTAAAATAGTAGTCATTACTGCCAGACGTGGAAGACCATATTTACTAAGAACATAATTTTGCATGAAAAATATGTAATCTAAATTACACAAAATTCGAATAGGTAGTTTTTACAAAAGTTACCTTTACTTTTGGCAAGGATTCTGCAAATATCTAAATATATGGGGTGTTCCGTTTATAATTTTAAAACTAATGTCGGTCCAGCACTCATATATAAAAAATATATAATTTTAAAATTTAATTTAAACCATAAAACTTTTGCATAAACTTTTTTTTCTAAAATCAGTAGAAAAGGTTCAGGCCTTTAATAAAGTTCCCACCCTGTATCTACCTAACTAATAATTTTCAAGAACTTAAATTGGTCGTTCATAAAAATGAGATGGTTTCAAGTATGGAGACTTACATTGTGTACAGCGCCCTTTTTTCTGGAGTGAAATAATCCACTAGTTTTAAAATAAGAGCTTGTTTTTTTTTCACCAAATTTAAAAATTTTCATCTTAACGCGGCTTTTGACACGGGTTTCAAAACTAACAAACAAAATTCCTGTGTCAATTCACTACATCCAGTAATGAACTAGATAAAGATGCCATCCTCTGACTGGACTTTACAGAAGGCATATTTTAGTGGTTTGGTACACTTGTGCGATAACGTGGTCAAAAGCTCGTATTACATTTTCCACCCCACCTATAATCGGCGTATTTCGAGCTATTGGCACGTGCTGATCTTCAAAAGATTCTGACTGCCCCTGACAGATAGGGTGAACGCAACCACGCCCCCAACTATCGCGTGGTAGAAGTACCACTGGAGATCATTGATAAGTGATTGTGCACGTGGGACATGGCAGGAAGTGGCATAAAACGTTTCCGTTTATATCCGGTGTATTATGCAAGAACAATTGCGTACCGATACTCGATATTGTGCCTCTCGAGCACCAGGGTTGAAAACTTTACGGGCCACTTCGTTTATATATTTGTGCAATATTTGCGTTATCCCATGTGGGAAGTCTAAAAGAAGCGCACACTAACACTAATTCAACATTTAGTTCTCTCGAATTAGTTATAAATCGCGGCATACTTACAATAAAACATGTCTTTGTCGTCTCTTTAGCATAAAAGACGGAGAGTGCGAGGCAAAGATAGAGAATTAATTACCGACTTAGTGGCCATTCCATGGGCGTAGCCACCTGCCTACATTTTTATTAATAAATTAAGGCTGATTATTTTGTTTTGGAAATCTCATTAATGATTTTTATTACTTTGAAAGTTACCTGGCATTTAGGAGTTGCCTTGAAAAAATATAATTAAACATTTGCACTGCACAGGATGTTCCGTCCGAATAGCCAAGTTATTTGTACGATAATTTATGTTAAAATATAAATTATATTTATATATACATATACGTACATATACATACATCTTTTTCGTACTTGTTTAATGGCGACTAGCATTTTGGTTTTTAAACAACAACAAACACTATTTACAATCGGCACTCTTTTATGCAATATTTTGGAACCCAAATTTTGAAAAACCTTTAAAAACTAGGACTATAGGAGAACAGTACAAAAAAGTAGTACATGCTTTGACCTCGTGCTAGTCAAAACTAACCAAAAGTATCCAAATTTCAAATTGCTGCGTCAAATCGTTAAAAAAAATTGTGTCACCCCGTATATTCTATCAAAAAATCTCTACTTAAATCCAAAATCTATTAAAATGTTTCTAAATTGTGATTCTTTGCAGTGTTTGATTCACACCCGGTATATGTTAAAGGAAATGTCCCAAACTGTTGTGCCCAAATCAAAATAAGATACGTCTACTCTTTTAGACGATTTTTTTGAAATAAAACAAAATTTCTTCAAACCACTTTTTGATAGAATGTAGACGATCTGTGTAAAAAAGAACACGATCATGCTGTATTGCCCATTTGTCAACATTTTTAAATTTTGTAAATTAGTATACAGGATGTCCTAAAAATCCAACAATTACGAAAACTGCAGAAAGTAGAAGAAAACTGGAAAACTTATTCCAAAAGCCAAGATTGATCGTGACAAATAATACAAAAAAAAGTTTCTATTTAGAAATTTTTACAAAATCTTGTTCTTGTTTAGCACAAGAACGTCAGTGCATTCGAAGTTGACCGATCCGAAGTATAACAAAATTATTGATTCGTTCTTCCTTCTTAATGGCGGAAGTATACCGACCCGTTTCGTGGAGAATTAATCACGGTGCAAATGAACTTTTGCACTTTTGCATTAGACACGTCGCAAATATACAAATGAGTTGAGAATTAATATTGTCACACCGAATAATTAATGTAACGGTATACATTTTAGCGAAAAGAAAATTTCACACGGCCGTCACATGTTGGCGTATTAAAATTCAGTATATTCTCAGAAAATTATCGATCGATGTATTCAAGTGTCGAACGTGTCAAAATTTATATGTAAAGCACGTCTTCCTGTGTTATAACTTAGTAACATAGTTGTTTTAACCAGGCGAATTATACACTGAGAATTTTTTTTTTTTCGGTCACATCAGATTTACCAAAAACATTTATTCCAAAATATAAAGCAGAATTTCGATTCTGATTTTTGATATTTAGTGAAGGAAGATGTTTGCACGAGTCAATTGATACTTTTTACAAGACTTCTGGATTCCTCCTGCGTCGGTTTTTGCTGAGTCGAATTTGCTGACGTTTGACTGAGACTGGACGCCAGTTTCAGTCGAGCTCTGAAGAAGCCAACAGGATGACTGGCGAAACGTTGGCAAGTTCGACCCAGCAAAAACCAATGCAGGAGGAATCCAAAAGTTTTGTAAGAAGCCTGTGGAAGTTTCCTTGAAAAATTACTGAGTCAATTGGTATTTGAAAAAAAACTACTTTTGTCCATTGTTTAAGTCGTTATATCTTCGTTATTATTGATCTGAAACAAACGCAAAGAAACACTTGTCTTTTTAAAAGGGAACTCTTGAAAGCCTCATCAAAAAGGTTTTTCTTTTTCAGTTTCTTGGTTTGTTTACGGACGTTCAGTATTAACAGCGATTTTATTTTTCCCAATATCAATTAACATGTACGTAATTTATTTGTACTCGAAATTCCGACGAAACAACCGCATAAATTAAGTTTATTCACAAACATCATTTGTTGGTAAATTAAGTGTTACAATAATTTAAAAAGATGCCTGAAGCAACTGCACGCACATCAATATTGATGAAAAGTAAATATTACTATAACTTTATAGAAATAAGTGGTCTAAATTGATTTGTTCCAAAGATTGTTGTAGTAAGATTGAAGTTGTTATCAGTTTTTTTGTTGGAATTAATATTTCGACCATTGGAACCAAGTAAACATAGTTTAACATAGGTTTAACATCATATATATAGTCGATAGTTGCGTTGTGGTTTTGGTGTTGAAAACATTTCAGTTGATTATTGTAGAAGATATTTGCCATTAGATAAGTAAAACAACTTCGATTCACGGAGGTTAAAATCGTCTAAATACATTTTTCAAAATTCAATAAAACGTTTGAAATTGCGAATTGCCATCTTGAATTGTTCAATAGTTAAAACTGTTTTTACTTTCTTTGTAGCTAACTAAGTAAAAATTAAAAAACTCGACTTTACTTTTTACATTTCAAATTGTTTGGGAAAAGAAACTTTTAATCGCTTCAATATCTATAAACTTGATTATTTCGAAAAAAGTTTATTCTAACTGCGGTTTTTCGTTTGGACTTTGTCCAGGTTATATTTTATGACAGCGATTGGAATCCCACAGTGGATCAACAAGCTATGGACAGAGCCCATCGTTTGGGCCAAACCAAGCAGGTAACTGTATACCGATTAATTTGTAAAGGATCGATCGAAGAAAGAATTTTGCAAAGGGCTCGAGAAAAGAGCGAGGTATTCTTATGAATTTTTCGACTTTCTATCGGCGTAACTCGATTTAATTGCAGATTCAAAAATTGGTTATTAGCGGAGGTAATTTTAAGCCTGACACGCTTAAACCGAAAGAGGTTGTTTCCTTGCTCTTAGATGACGAAGAGTTGGTTCAGAAATGTGAGTTGTTTGTTTAAGCCGGCGTCACACGGCCAATGTGTAGTAGTTGGTTAGTTGGCCTTGCGAATTTATCGCCAATTTTCAATGGTGTATGGTTATTGGCCTTAGCATTTATTAACATTGTATATATGACCTTACTATGACATATTGGTGACTGAAAACTTGCAAATCATTGCAGAAGCATAGTGCTGGTCAAAATTGTCAAAGAAAAACTAATACTCATTAAAGTAAAGTATGCTTAGATTTTAATACAAGGTTTTATGTCACTTTTCGATATGGTTTTTCCAAATGCCATTATTTATTTATTTAATATTTAAATCATATGCAAGTGGATTTGCTTTACCACGTCAGTTCCATTTTAGCTTTTCAATATATATTTTTTTAATAATGTGAGAAAGATATACATTTTAATGTTGCGTATGCTTTGTGGGGCCGGCTTTAAATTAGCGTAAGTTGTTTAATTTAACCAATTTTCAGACAACTTAAAAGTTGAAAATAGAACTACTGACGATATTAAAGAAGACAAAAAGAGGAAGGTCGCATTTAAAGTGAGTATAGAGTAAAATAGAGTATACTCGCCCTTGGGTTAGTTAGTTGATTGGTTTAGTTGGTCTACTTCTATTAGGGTATTTCACCTGGTCTTAGTCTTACTGCCAAGAAAGTATTTTTATCGACCAGTATGTAAATCGTGAATTCATTCCTTTAAGAGAATCCATACAGAAAAAAAATATATATATATATATATATATATATATATATATATATATATATATATATATATATATATATATATATATATATATATATATATATATATATGGTGTGGCGTTTAAGAAAATCGAAATTTTTTCAATATAAAATGATCCAAATATATTCGTTTATTTTGAACACCCTGTAGTATCTGTTTGAAATTCCGTTGTATATATCTGTTACGTCCTCTTCGAATAATGGTCCTACCGTAATTTTTTTGCAAGTGTGAAAAGTAGTATTTTTTTAGAAAAATTAAAATATTGTATGTATGTACTATTATTAATAAAAAAAAGTTGAAGAATTTTAAAAGGAATTTAAAATTGGGGTGTTCCATTTAATAAATGTATGTTTTATTTGCCACGCTTTTTTGAGCCACGCTATATATTTTAAGATAAGTTTAAATTATGCATCCTAGCAATCTATATATTTACTATTTGCTTTTGAAAGCAATAAGATAATGAACTTTACTTTACCCTGTAATATTGAGTATTCGATTGTTGTAGTAAAACGAGACCTAATTAATTAAACAAATTATTTAATGATTTTATGCAGGGTGTTTCCAAACAAATCTTGCTAATTTCTAGGGTAAATAAAATATTATTAAAAAATAGCGTTTTTGTTTTATTAGTTTATTATTTGTTATATATTTTTACATCATAGTTCACTTTTCACTCTAAATATCATTTTAATATAAAAAAAATCGGGGGCCACTTAATTTGTCCCCCTTCTCCTTCTAGCTACGCTCCGGTACAAAATACGTTTATTAATCAAATTAAATTTTTATTGAAACATCCTGCATAAATGGTAATGATTTTCTAAAATTATTTATTTGTTGTTTTGTTACAAAAAAGGCTAAATTAATTAAACACTCTTCTAACTACATGGTTTGTCTTGACGGCGATTAGTTTCTCATAAGCTTTCCGGGATAGAAGGCAGCAAATTATTACTTCTGTCTCTATACTGGGTGTTTCCTAATCGAATGTCAAAAATTAAGAGGGTCCATTTTAAAAAGAAAACTTCATATGAATATATGTTCTAAACTATTGGTAAAGTTTTCAAAAATAAAATATATTTTTTTAATATTTGTAATACCATGTTAGATATTTTAATGAAATTTGGCATACATGCACTATGTATCAACAGGCATTATTTAGTATACCACAATTGTTTTGAAATACACCAGCATACGGAGTTTCACAGGTTTGTTTTTTCAGACATTGATGGTGCACCACTGATTTCTCTTAAAATAAAAATTATTCTTACAATCTCCAATCATTTCTAAAGAAATTTAATTTCTTTCTGCAATATCGTTAATGCAGAGAATTATTATCATTATTTCTTACTTAAGAAATTGTCTATCTGTTTTATTAAAATACTTCAAAAAATCGAACACGAAGTACATAAACTTAAATAAATAAAATAAATTTAAATAAGAATCCATTATTTATCTTGTTATTAGAATGTTATGTTATTTCTAATTTTTTTTTCTGAAGGACACTAGATGGTAACTAAAAACTTTTTGTTTTAGATAGTTATTTTCATTTTCACAAAAAAAGTTCTCGATTTAACCAGTGCAGTGGCTACCTAATTAACCAAAATATTATGTTTCCATAGACAGTCAGTGGCACGCCACTGATTTCCTTAAAAACATAATGACATTTGCATTCATTTATGAGAAAGATTTTTATTGTTTTGATTGGATTGAAAAAAATCAAGAAATTAAATTTCTTTAGAAATGGCGCGAAATCAGTGGCGCACCATCAATATCTGCCAAAATAGACAGGTGGTACACTAAATAATGCGTCTTCATACATGGGTGCCAAATTTCGTTAAAATATATAAAGTGGTATTAAAATATAAAAAATATATATATTTTTAAATTCTCTTTTTAAAATAAACCTAAAAATCGTCCTCTTAATTATTGATATTCAATTCGAAAACACCCTGTATAATCGAGTCTATGAGTGGTTTAAAAAATTAATAAAAAAATAAAATAAAAATATTAGCCTAGGGTTGCATATAACTTCCTCTAATTGAAGGGCTTTAACGAACTATAAATTTTTGTCTGTGGCCTAAAAAATGTTTACCGCGTTTTTCATTATGACGGCACACTATTTAGAAATATGACTGGGAATTAGAAATAATACGTCCCGCAATCTTCCTAAACACAGGGATTACTGCTAATAATAGCGGCTCTTTAAGATAATAATTATTTCTTCGAAAGACGATATCGACGGCACCTGATGCGAAACGGCAAAAGCTCGACGCGACAGTGGCGTCGACGACCGCCCAATCCCTGCAAGAGGCGTCTGAAGATCAGGCAATTCAAGACAGCGTACCCAACAGTCCTGTCAGTAGCACTTCCAATGACGTGTTAGGAGACGAAGCGACCGACTGCTACAATGACGATGCCGATTCGCCAATTACAAACAGTGAGTGTACTTTTTTTTTTTTTCAGGTATCAACGCAAACGATGAAGATCGCTTCTCACACGCCCCGATGGTTTGACATGACTTTTGTTTATTTTACGTCGACTCCTAAAATACCCAATTAAATTTTGGTAGTCTATTAGCGCAACATTTATAGAATACACAACCAAAAAAAAGGGTCCATTTTTATGAAAATTTAATTTCTGAAAAAGAAAATTTCACAATTGTAGCATCGATGCAATTACGAATTCCACATGGTGTGAAGTTGTCAATTCCTTCTAATCTTTCTCGCCGGAGCCTGATTGCAGGTTGCAAAACTAAAGTAAGCCGTTATGGTTTGTGAAATGGGAATCAAAGAAGTATTTCGGATCGTAGGTCAATGCTTCCTGGCATTTTTCCAATCTTCAACAGTCTATATCTTGCCTTCAAAGTTCAGACACTCTTAAGCCCCTTACACTCACATCTTTAGCTTTAAAAAGTTGCCTTTAAAGTTCTGGATGAGTGAATGTGCTCTTCTTGCTATCCTGTCCTTACGTAGTTGCTCTTCCACTACTACTCGGCCTATTCTTTGAGGTTCCCAACTCCAGCAACGTTGAATATGTTTTTGAAACAACCAGCCTCGTTGTGCCAAAACAATAATTCCTCCCCTTGGGGTATCGATAACTCCTCGTCCGTGCAAAATGAAAGAAATTGTAAGCCTAGCAAGCGAAACAGTCAAATTGACATTGCGTTTGTATTTCGGATCTTAGGCCAATTCTTCTTGACATTTTCCCAATCTGCAATAGCTCCAAAACGGTCATTTATATTTTGCCTTGAAAGTTCAAAAACTCTTAACTCTTAAGCCCCCTGATAGCTTCTACAGAAACACTCACACCTTTAGCTTGCAAAAATTGACTCTAAAGCTCTGGATAAGAGGTTGTGCTCTTCTTTCTATGTCCTTACGTAGTTACTCTTCCACGACTACTAGGTCTATTCTTTGAGGTTCCCAACTCCAGAAACCTTGAATAGGTTTTTAAAACAACCACTTGTGACACGCCTGACCGTGCTAGAGCTATAATTCTTCCCCTCTGGAAAGGGAAATAAATTTTAAACCCAGGATAATTCCATATAAGTTTGGTTGTGTTTATTTCAGAATATACAGTGTATAACGTCTACGGTTCTACGGTTAAACCGAGGGCGCAGACTCGTGGACATTCTAAGCGTGGTAGACCTAGAGGATCGCGTTCCAGAACTGCCGGCTTGGGAAGGAACTTCAACAATGCTGCCACTACCGCAACAGCCAGCAACGCTTCGGCATCCTTTAACACTAGCGGTGAGTGCTATTGTTCTTATTTATTTTTTAAAGCACTTGGACTATAAAAATCGCGTCTAAATTGCCATACCTTCTAGGTCTCACTCATCACCAGAGACCCTTTTTTGTTCTTTTTAAATCGGTCCTTTTTCGTTCGCTCATTGTTGCAAATATATTAACTCAATAGAGAAATTTAGATAGGTATGTACAGGGTGTCCCATTTTGCGGGGATCTCGGAAGGATTTTTAAAACGAGAAAAGAAATAGAGCATTACTCAACCCAACTAAAGTCCTAATGCTGTACTTTTACTATTAGGTTATTAGGAGCTTTATCACTTAAAAAAAAATAACGATCTTATAAATTTCAATTCCAAGGGGGGTAAAAGTTCACTTTCCCTATGGTTTCCACAAGAGACTATAGTAAATTCACTTTCCAAAAACCGCATACGAATTCGACGAAACGAAACTGGCGTTCCATTTCAAAAAAGAAACTAGGTATCGATATCAAATGTTGACCCATCCTGTATAGTTTCTGTTTACTGCAAAAAATGTATATTATTATTATATTTTAGCGGTTCACTGTATAATTAAATGTAATTATTAAAATACGGCAGATTTTAATGCCGAAAATGCCGAAACCGCCTGACCCGGTTATACCAAAAACGCATTGTAATTACTGAAGAAAGTTTGACCATACACTTCCATAAAATTCAACTAATTGTATTGAATACAATAAGGAATAAGGTATCTCGAAGTAGGTTATGGCATCATTACCTTATGGCCGTGTAAATCCATATTCCGAAGGCAAAAACAGGCTTTAAATAGGCGCATATGTTTCCATCAAACCAAAAATAAAATGTAGGCCCCCGAACGATGAAATTTTACTTCCGGGTTCTTTTCATCTCCGCCGCGTCTGTTTCCAATTGCTGAGTTTTTTAAGCGCGCTTTTTTTTACATCATTGTAGTAGGCAAACGCGCGTCTGCCGTTTCATGTACCTGCGCAAAAAACGGCCACCTTTTCTAGAACCACCTTCGACCCACCCTGAATGGATTTCCTGAAGGATATCCGCCAGATGGGCATCCGCGCCCATATTGTGAAAGAGTTAATATACCCCGGTATACAAGTGATCCATTTTTCTCTGACAGATTCATCCCTCGAGGCCGGTGCTTCTCAAACCGTGCTCAATCGTTGCGCACGAATAAGGTCGCGGTTATAAAACCGTTTGGGTACCGCTGAGGCGGTATTTTATTGAAAAATTATAATATTTTGTTATCCTGATGATTTATCAGCAGTGGTTGTAGTTTTTTGGCAAAAAAAATCGCCAAAGTTGCTGATAAAAATATTTTTATTGATTTATATATTTTTATACATATATATTTATAATTATAACTTATGTGAAAACTGACAGAACCAAATATGGACAAAGTGTATATTTTTTCTGATGATTCTTTGTATCTATCTATCTATCTATATATATATATATATATATATATATATATATATATATATATATATATATATATATATATATATATATATATATATGTATATATGTATATATATATATAAAATATACAATATTAAATCACAAAACAATTAAAAACAAAATAAATTTCAATATCAAATATTAAAGCTTATCTTTAAATTGTAACTTTATAAGTTATTTATAATTATATATTTATCTGAAAACTGACTGCACCAAATATGGACAAATTATATATTTTTGTAATCAGGATAATCCTGTACTAATTTATTTAAGTCATATAAATCTATACAATATTAATTCACAAAAAAGTTAAAAAGAAAATAAACTTTCAATTTCAATTATTATAATTTATTTTTAAATTAAAAATTTAAATTTATAATTTATTATTGTAATTTATTTATAATTATAATTTATCTGAAAATTGACAGGACCAAATATCGACAAATTATATATTTTTGGTATCAGGATAATTCTGTACTAATTCCTTTACAATTCATATAAATCTATTCAATATAAAATTCACGAAACAATTAAAAACAAAATAAATTTCAATTTCAATTATTAAGATTTATTTTTAAAACTTAAATTTAAATTTATATTTTTTTAATATAACTTATGTATCACTGAACCAAATATTGACAAATTATATATTTTGGAAATCAGGATAAGTTTGTATTAATTCCTTTAAAAGTCATATAAATCTATCCAATACTAATTCACAAAACAATTAAAAAGAAAATAAATTTCAAGATCAATTATTCAATTTAATCTAAAATTATAAATTTAAACTTATTATTATAAATTATGTGTAATTATAATTTATGTGAAAACTGACTGAACCAGCACAAAACAATTAAAAATGAATTAAATTTAAATTTCAATTATTAAAACTTATTTTGAAATTATCACTTTTTTATAATTATAATTTATATGAAAACTAACTGAACCAAACATCTAAAAATAAAATATTTTTCAAATATAGGTAAAAGAGGCTTTTAATTTTGACAACAAAAAAAAAGCAGAGTTGCTTATACTAGCTGACGTTTCGCTAATCATCCCGCTGTCTTCTTGAGAGCTTAACTGATATTCCACAGTAGCCTGTGGAAGTTTATTTTTCTCGCGATGCCCATTTCTTGTTATTGACACTTTCAATAAAAAAAAACCTTTTAATAAGAAATGAATCACTGGTTTAACTGCCATTCGTGTGAATGGTTTATGGGCCTTTATCACTAGCACGTAACCGAGTAAACGATGGAGAGCTTGGACTGATGAAGCAGATACACCATCGACCAGAAATCAACTGACAGTTCCACGGAAGTTAGCTATTATAGCTATTTGTGCATTTTCTGTTATTCAGTCCATGCTCGTGGTTCCTTTCTTTTGGTTCTACCACTACATTTTCTTTCAGCTCAACCATTTCCATTCAGCGAACCTTCGCCTCAAGATTCGGCATCGTCGTTGTCATCGAACCAATCATCCCCGCGAGGTCCTAGTCCTGGACCTAACCAAGGGAGCATTGGTTGCGGATCGCGTAGAGGTCCGGGCAGACCAAGACTCAAACCTTCAGGTCCGTCCAATTCTGGGTCTAGGGGTACATATCGGCCTCGTAAACCCGCTAGACCTTTGCCGGTACCTTTGCCAAGTGACCCGTCCTCTTCCCAATCTTATAGCACCTACTCGTTTTATGATTTCCCAGACGATTGAGGTTGTAATCTTAACAAACGACTTCCGTTGATCTACCGATAACCGATAATTGGTTGAGTCAAGGATACGGAATGGAATCAATCAAGCAAAGAGACGAGTTTGTACCTGACAAATTTGGATCGAACTTTTTTTAATTCTTTTTTGGAAAAATATTTTACAAATCCCCAGAAACATAAAAATGATATGCTTAAAAGCTTTGCCTATTTATTTTTCATATGGTTCCACTGACTATTTATATTTTTTGCCCCATTTTTTTCTATTAATAAAAAACAATTGTTCAAATCGCTGTTTTAATTTTTGCCCTTACGTCAAATCCTGAAATGCTTCTCACAAAAATGATACAAGGTAAGTATATACAAAGGAAAAATATATGTAAAGGTAAGGGTTTTGATGTAGTGTTATATGGAAAAAATGTCGCTTTGCACTTTTCCTGTATTGGATCAAATGGTAAGTAAAAATTTGATAGTAATTTTCAAAAAATTGTTGCGCCACATTTTGAATTTATATTTCGGTGGTGAACTTTAAAATATGAAATGGGAAATCCTTTATTTTAATACAGATTGGAATAAACTAGTATTTTTTAAAAGAAAATCGCTGCTTAAATAAAGTTTGCGATGATAAAGCAGCTAGAAACGCCATTCGTCCATTCATTACAAACGTTAAGTGTTCATTAAATCCGCGTTAAAAATAGAGGGTGTCTCAAAAAGCTTTTCACTAACTTTTGATATAAGTCTAATATTAAAAAGTAGTTTGGTTAATAAATATTTTGGATGTTTCAACAAAAGAACTAAATAACAAAATGAACTAAAATAATTAATTTATGGCATGGCTTCATGCTTCTATAATTTAAATTGCTACACCAATATAGATTTTTTTAAATTCGTTGTGATTTCTGACATATCCGGAAAATACCGGATTGTTTATTGTCGTTTTATTTTTTCTAGCTCTCCATGAAAACAAATGAAAACTGGTCGATTACCAAAACGCCACTCACAAAACCAATATAAAGTTGTTCATGGTCGATCTGCCTGACAATTGGGCACTTGTCATTGGTACAAAAAAAATAGATTTTGCGATATAAAGGGTTGAGATTGACAATTTGTAACTACATACAAGGTCTAACGGCCAGGCTTACAAAGTGAAAACTGCTTCAATTTCTGGAAGGACAAGGATTTTTTAGCCCACTTGATTCGTTCTACTCTGTAGTATTAAAATATTTGCAACTTTTCTTTAATTGTGGACCGTGACAAAATGAATACCAAAAACAATAAAACTGTAACGCGGATTGCGTGGGTTATACCCGAAGTCTATTCGGCTTTTTGCATTAACTATATTTATACTCCACATTCTTTTGTACTATTGCACATGCGTTTGACATTAAAAGAATTGATAAATGAAAATCTCGGTTGATTTAAACATTATTTTTATTAGTACAAGAACAAAAACTGAATTAAAAAATCTGAATTAAATAACAAAGTCTAAAACAATAGTTCAGTCCATTTATTTTTGGAATCTCTCCTTGTTGCCACAATTGCAACATTCCATCGATCTTGATGTCTATTTTAAAACTTGTCGTTTCTTATTAATCAATAATATTTTTTTTGCTTTCGTAACGGTTTTCAAGAAAATGTTTATTTTATTTTACTTTATTAAAATAAAAAAGATATTTAACGAGCCAATCCTAATCGAAAAGGCCCTTCACATTTCTTGGCTCGTTGAAGAAGCGCTTCAGAATCCAGCCGTGCAGACGCTAACAAAAGGTTTTGATACGGGTAAAAAAGGGACGAAAACATTTCACCACAAATTAACCCCAAACAATGTCAACGAACTCCGATTTCCGAACTACTGGCATTAAAATTCGCGGTCTTGATGTAAATAAGCAAGTTTATTTCAGATATGAAGAGTCTAGGCGGAAAATTGCTACAATGATTTTTCATGGAGATGGTGCTGATAACAACGAAACTTTACTAACCCGTACGGACCACTCGAAAGCTTTTGATACTCTTAATCACCAAATTTTTATTTCATGCTAAATTTTATTAGTTTTGCAAAGCTTCAAAAGTTGATTTCTGGAATTCGAAAGTTCGGTAGAATTAGTCAAGCACATCATTGCTTGCTAAATACGATATTTAATAATAATAATAATAATATTTAATAATAATAATAATAATAATAATAATAATATTTTGCTATGGGGAACCTCGTCTTACTCTTACAAAGTATTTATCCTGCAAAACCGAGCAGTAAGAATAATTGACAATATATCCTTGAACATGCTAGGCCGAATTTTAAAAAATCTCCAATTCTCACGTTGCCTTGTCTATATATACTTGAAACACTAATTGAAATCCATATACATTAAAAAAAAACAATAAAATGGATCTAGATCTTGATAAGTACGAAGAATATTTCACCATAAATACATTTAAGAAATTTTTAGAAAATATAATTGAATATTTATTTTAAAATGTTACAGAATATAACAAATTTAAGCTAGAGTAAGTTTGTACTTATATTGCTGCATGATTTCTTATTAAACTTGTTGTATGACTTTCCATGTACTTCTACGTATATAAAAAGTCAATAAACGCTATTCTATACTATTCTATTATTATTTAATTATTTATAGGTTAATAAAGTCCAAATAATAAAAATATTTCATATCTCACAAAGCAGCAGTTAATCAAATTATTTTCTTTAACTATTCCAAAACAGTTGTAGCCAATAACTTTTGGTATGCAGTGTATATGTTCATATTTATTATATTCCTGTCCTGTCCTAACTACAATACAGTGTAGCTGCAAGGATGAATAAACAATTATCTATTATCTTCACAAGGCCAAGGGATTAATTTTAGAAATAAATGACAACCTTTAATATTTGACTGTGAAATAATAATACAAATTTATACCAGCTAGACTAGCCATTTTTTAGCTACAAATAACAAGGAATATATACATATACATACACATACAGATACTTGGACATGACAAAACAAAACAATAAAATACAAAAAAAGACAACAATAATTTGTCTTTGCCTCAAAAATTAAACAATCAATTATTTTTTATGTTATGCTTACGACATTCTTTAGCGTAATTGCGTATTAATTTTACTTTTTATTACCGACCAAACGCGTCATTTTGCATTAATTTCCGTCAGAAATTTTAGTCACTTTTATTTTCCCACAATTACGAGCGGTTTCGGTACATATCGGCCAATTTCCGCACCATCAGAGCATTGAATATTATCCGGTAGATACCGGTTCATTTTTTACGACCTTTAAAGAGGAAATGAAATCAATGCAAACTCAAATTAAAAAGATGCATTGTGAGAAAAAAACACTGAATGAAATTTGTATATTTTTCACGTTTTGAAATATATTATGTGCGCTATTGTCATGTGGTCCAAGATTTCAGGAGTTCCCCGAAAAACACGTTACTTGCCTACTACAACGAATTAAATTGAAATAAAAAAATCTGTTTAATAATTACCGCAAGTAAACCAAATCAAACATTGAACATCGAAAGACAAAATATCTCTTACTTTAGTGGAATACGTGGTTAGATGTTGGAAAATTTAAAAATATGAAATTCACTAACAAAAGCAGATACTGATTAAAGTAAATATCTAGAAAAAATAATTGATAAAATTTGGGATGATTTAAAATTTAATACAATACTTACAATACGACACGAGTAATTTTAAGAGGAGGAGCAAATTGAATTTTTTGAAGTCAAATCCTCTAAAAATAATTCCCAACAATTTTTAAGATATACTTTAAAAAAATTTCTTCACAACTTTAGATCACTATTTTTCACGGAAAAGAAAACATCCAGGAGCGTAACTAACAAAAAAATATAAAAGCGTAAGAGAACAAACAGGAAAAAAAATTAAAAAAAAATCGTAAATCTAATGAAGTTTTAGTTTTAGAAATGGTGGGTATTTAAAAATACTGAATCTCAATATCATTTATTGTAAAAAATTTGATATGTGAAATTGTGTCTAAAGTGAGCTGATTATTTGATATTTCCCATTCTTCGATTTCTTGAAAAAAACAGATTTTATTTATTTTATCACTGTGTATCTCTAAAATGCAGTAATTTCGAAGGTAAGTTGAATTATGCTATAATTTTGTACAGAGCTTTTGTAGCTCACGTAACTGACAACTTTAAATGAATTGGTTATATATTTTTTCAACAATTTATTTAATATTTTAATTTATTAACAAACAAACCTTTTGTGTTTTCAACATTTCGAAGCAGATATAAGTTTTTAACAGAAAAATGAATTTTTGATATAGGAACCCAGTATATTTTTGAAGCTTTGGAAATAACTTAAAATAACCTTTAAAAAAATACGTTTTTTTTTTAACTTTGGACAAAAAGCCTTTTAAATTTGAAGAAATCAAGGGAAACTTGTGTTTCTTTGTTAGTCTGGCTATTGCCAGACCATTTTGGTGTTGAAGATTACTTTGAAAGCCTCCTACACCACTTGTAACTAACTATTCCTATAGTTGGTACAATCTGTGATGGCATAGGCGGCGATAAAAGGGCAGACCGAATAAAACAGATTGTTCATCTTGCTTCTACTTATACTTCAACAGATGTTGTTTAGTCCTAAATATCTATCTGATCAATGCTAACGATCACGATTCACATTTTAGATCATTTTCTGTGTAATCAATCTACTTACTGCGTAGCCAATTGATAATTTATTCTTTTCTTGTCGATGCATTTGGTACAGTTTCACAATTGCACATAATAATTAAAGACGGCCTTTCCTAAATGTCTATCTGATCAATGCTAACGATCATGATTCACATTTGAGACCATTTTCTGTGCAATCAATCTACTTACTGCGCAGCCAATTGATAATTTATTCTTTTCTTTTCGATGCATTTGGTACAATTTCACATAATAATTAAAGACGGCCTTTCCTAAATGTCTATCTGATCAATGCTAACGATCATGATTCACATTTTAGACCATTTTCTGTGTAATCAATCTACTTACTGCGCAGCCAATTGATAATTTCTTCTTTTCTTGTCGATGCATTTGATACACTTTCACGTTTCACATAATAATTAAAGACAGCCTTTCGAGTTTCGGCAGCAGTTTTTCATAAATGCTATCTCTGTTGAGGGTACGACACCGATGCGTAATAGACAAAGGTAGACGCAGGTAAATGGGTAGGTTTTGTCATTCTTAGTATACGAGTAGAAGCAGGTAAAATAGTGAGACACCTTCTCACTTGCTTTTATGACCT